AAGGGGGAAAAAAATTACTCAGCGCCCCCCTGGATATCTACCTTCAAGAAGTGGACAAAAAGATGCAGTTTGTGGATCTGCACCTGGATCGTTCCACTGCCCCCCCAGGGGGTGGCATTGCCCACTTCGGGGACCAGGGGCCCTAGAACATCCTGGAAAGACCATGAAAAGATCTGCTCTTGGTTTGGCTTTGTTTTTTAAAAAGCTTCTATTTCATAGGATTTTTTTCCTCTGTGCTTCTTATCTGATAGCTTCATTTCTGGCACACTTCCTAGTCTGTGTTCCGTTTCTAGGACAGAACAAAACATGGTATCCATGCTGGGGAGAGGCGTTGTCTGGGATGTTTTTCATTACTTAAAAATGGTGGTGGCTTAAGATGACCTCAAGTCGCAGCTGACTTAAACCGACCCCTCATGGGGCTCTCAAGGCAAGAGAGAGGTGGTCCGAGGTAGTTCGCCATTGCCTGCCTCTGCGTAGCGACCCCGGTCTTCCTGGCCCCCGGAGAAATAGCCACTTGCCAATCACCTGCCTTCCCCCTGGCGCTCCTTTTAAAATAGCATGTCCAAGACGGTGGAGGTCTATGTGGCACAGAGAACCAGTGCTAGCATCAGAAGTTATAAAGCATTTATTAAAAAGAAAATGTGTACAAGCGTACTTTCAGCACAGCACAAGATTGAGCAAGGGATTAAAAAAGAAAAGAGTAAAAGACAATTCCTCTATTCCTCCCTCTGTACACGCCCTATTTCTTCTTAAATGCAAGGCAGGCTCCTTAGCTTAGAAAGTTACAGATACTCTACAGGGTTTCCTTTACCTTCCAGCCTCTTTCAGGTGTGCAGGCCAGCACATGGCAATGGCTGCCTTCCATAGGCCTCCGGCAAGAGTTCTGCCTGCCTCAATGGAATCAGCACCGGAACAGCCCCTCCCCTCCTGGCTCTTGGGAGCTTCCTCGTTTCTCTTTCTCCTCCCATATGGGCCAGGTCAGACCGGGTCAAAGAAGCTTTTCCTGAACTCCCCAGGAGTTTCTTCCTGAAGCTCTCCTGGTACTTAATCCCCCCAAACCTCTGTTCCCTGGGCAAGTGGGGGAACGGGCCATCCCATTGTCTCTTGCTAGACCTATAAGCATTTCTAAAAGGGTGGCTGAGATGGGGCTGGAAAGCAAATGAACTGACTTCCCTCCTCCTGCCTGTTCTCTGTCCAGAGAGAAAACTTGTAAAAACTTTTGGGGAAGGTTTTGCTCAGTTCAAACCTTCCCTCCAAAATGCATTTCTTCACAGGGCCTAAAGACCATCCAGTTCAACCCTCTGCACCATGCAGGATGGCCTAAGGTATCTCTGACAAATAAATGTCCAATCTCTGCTTAAACACCTCCAGAGAAAGAGAACACACAACATTCCTGGGCCGCCAATTCCATCCCTGAACTTACTTTTAAAAAGCTTTTCCCGATATCCTGCAGGTATCTCCCCACTGATAATTTAATCCCATTATTATAAATCCTATCCTCCACCACTACCGTTTCAGAAATAACATGGCAGTACAATATTTCCTAAGGCATATGGTAGCATTTATATGTTAACAACATAAGAACATAAGAGAAGCCCATGTTGGATCAGGCCAGTGGCCCATCCAGTACAACACTCTGTGTCACACAGTGGCCAAAAACACCAGGTGCCCTCAGGAGGTCCAGCAGTGGGGCCAGGACACCAGAAGCCCTCCCACTGTTAACCCCCCCCAGCACTATCCCTTGTGGCTAACAACCAGTGATGGACCTCTGCTCCATATCCTTACCCAATCCCCTCTTGAAGCAAAACATTAATTGAAAGATTAATTGGAAACTTAAAGAAAACCTCTCAGAATTTTACATGAGAAAAGCCCCACTCTTAATCTTCCCTTCCATTGTCCACTCAACATTTGGAAGGACCAGCCCATAAACACTGATGCCACTTTAGATCAAACTTTGCAGGGCACAACAAAAATACAATCAGTTAACATACACAACAGTTGCACACCACGGCAAGTAATCAACGCAAGCATTTGCGAAGCCAAACACGAAGGCAAGCGGGAGGAGGAGGCACACACCACGATGGAGCTGATCGTTGCACCCAAACAAGGCCCAAATGGAAAGGCGGGGGGGGGGACCCAGAAAGCACAGCAAACGGTGGGGGGGGAGGGGACATGCGATGAGAGGACCGAGAGGAGCAAGGCACGGCACACAAACTTGTACGGTAGTTAATGTATGAAAAAGCTTACTTCATTTAGAAAGCTCACTAATTGGTCTACCGTTAAATAATCAGTTTTGTCGCCATTGCTGAAAAGAAATTGTTTAGACAAAGTAAGTTTTCATGTCAGTTGCCACAGCAGGTACGATTTACATGTTGACACTTGGGAGACTCTCAACACCCACCTAATTGTCCTGCCACTGATCTGAGCTCATCTTTTTTTGAAACGGGAGCTACGATTGATGGGTGAGACTAATAAAATAAGCCTTGCTACAAAACAGCAGCTTAAAAACGGCAGGTTAATATTGTAGGTTAGTAAAGCCAATGCAAAAACAGTCCCCGGTACTCCCCTTGTTAGTTCCTGACAACCACTAATCTGAACTCCTGCTTAGAATGGAGCCCCTCGAGAAGAGGGTACAGCTGACTGCTGGTGCTGATACGGTACAGAGCCATGACACAAAAAATATCTTATCGTGCCAGAACAGGGTGACATCGCAATCAAATTAAATTTCACATTCCAGTCCACTTACATCTTCCTGAAAAGATCCTCGATGTCGGTGCGAGGGCATATCTTCTGTGTCAGTTCGTAAAACTTTTCGTACGTAAACGCTGAAGGCTCTATCTCGTCATTCTGGAAATGAAAGGATAACTTGACTGGAGCCCCTCCGAAAGACCAGCTTCATATTTTGATTAAACGGACCCAAAACCACTGATGAGAGTCTCACCCGTTGGGTCAAGCCAGTCAAGCCATCGCCCCCCCAATATCGTATTTCTGACAATGCCCAGATCTAAACATGGTTTACAATGAACCCAGCACAGGGTGGAAACCAGAGCTGCCAGGCCCCCCCCCCGGGGGGTGGGAGTGGGGGTTCCCCTGATTCTATGGGCTCCTGCCCCCAACAGCCATGACCCAGCAGGACGTCCCCGATACGATGACCTCATGCAGAAGTGACACTATCACGTTGGGGGCGTCGCACGTGGCAATGTCACCCGGCCCTCCACTCCCAGAAAGGTCCCTCCCACCCCCCACAGGCGAGGAGGCAAAACCCAGCAACTCTAACTGGCAGCAGTCACCCTAAGTTCATGCCCGGATTGACCAGCCGAAGCCTTTACGAGCATGAATGTCAATGGAGCACTCTTTTGGTGTGGCTCACAGGCCGGGTTTAGCTCCTGCCCACAGTATCTTACACACCAGGGTGTTTAAAATGGAAGCATTCAGCAGCTCACCTAATATTATTCGAAAGAAAAACAAGAGAGCTGGGGAGTTGTCCCCATTCACAACACCCTATGGGATGATTAGGGTGTCTATATAATTTACTTCGTAATAAATACATGTATATTTTTGTATACCTGTCAGTATTTAATGTTTTTAACTTGACTATCAGATTTACTGTGCCTGTACACTTAGATCTCCTTAACCTTTTTGGTTGTTCGTTCAATTCAGGGTGTCTCATTATACACAGCGAGGAAAGGTTAGTGTTTGAGATGGCACTAATTAATACGGTTTGGAGGGCTGGGAATAACCTTCGGCCAGCCCTGCTGGGATTGTTTGCATCACGGCACGGATCTAAAATTAATGAAGCTCTTCATGCTTGGAAATGAAAGATAAATACCTTGCCACTGGGAAGGCCCAATTCCTTAAGTGCCTGAAAGATCACCTTTTCAGTTTTACCTGATGCAAAAGTTCGGGTAATGCTAGAGGAAAGAGAAAGGAAAGTTATTCAGAAGTCCCTTCACTGCAGGGTTGGGCTTTCTTCGTGGTCCCCCCCCCCACTGGACCACACTTACACAATCATTTTAGCAAAAGACCTCTGAGAACACCCCGCGTCCTAACCATGGTATGTGTGTTGGCACAGCTTTTCATAGAAGTCAGGAGCCATTTTCAGAAAGCTTTCAGTGTAATTGTTCCACGTTCCTTTTTCGAACAAGTGGGAGCACCAAGACACAAATTGAGGATGTTCCCCACGTACGTGACCAAAACCGTCTTTCTAGTTCTCTCTTTGCTATAGACCCAAAGCACTCTGGTTTCTTAACATGCTAACCATTTCTCCCCCAAAATCTCCCCTTTCTCTTGTTGCCCATTCCATAAGAACATGAGAGAAGCCAGTGTTGGACCAGGCCAGTGGCCCATCCAGTCCAACACTCTGTGTCACACAGTGGCCAAAAATACCAGGTGCCACCGGGAGGTCCAGCAGTGGGGCCAGGACACTAGGAGCCCTCCCACTGTTCCCCCCCCCAAAGCACCAAGAACACAGAGCATCACTTGCCCCAGACTGAGAGTCCCTATCTATACCTTGTGGCTAATAGCCACTGATGGACCTCTGCTCTGTATAAGAACATGAGAGAAGCCAATGCTGGATCAGGCCAATGGCCCATCCAGTCCAACACTCTGTGTCACACAGTGGCCAGAAATACCAGGTGCCCTCAGGAGGTCCACCAGTGGGGCCAGGACATTAGAAGCCCTCCCACTGTTGCCCTCCCAAGCACCAAGAAGACAGAGCATCACTGCCCCACACATAGTGTTCCATCTATACCTTGTGGCTGATGGACCTCCAGTCCATAGGTTTATCCAATCTCCTCATAAGAACATACGAGAAGCCCATGTTGGATCAGGCCAATGGCCCATCCAGTCCAACACTCTGTGTCACACAGTGGCTAAAACCCGGGAGGTCCACCAGCGAGGCCAGTACCACAGAAGCCCTCCCACTGTCACCCCCCCCAAGCACAAAGCATAGGCTCCTGCTTACATTTTTGAAAAAAAGAATTAGACAGCTGTCCGATTCTTGCTGGACACATCACTAAACAGCGGCTGCACATACCTACCTCCTCACCGGAATCTTGCCATTGGTGTTCGTCAGAAACGCCAGTTTCATCCAGCTAAAAGATAAGAGAAAATGATTACGAAAACGTACCCCACAGGAGGAAAAACCGCAAGGCCTAGTCCGTGTCTCACGGAGAAGGAAGGCAAAACCGCAGGGAACGAGTCCCTTCTGCGTTCCACACATCTGCCGCAATGCGTGAGACTCGTGGGTTTCACACAGAACGAGATCTATGAAATGCCCTTTAAAAACAGCAAGTTAGGCTGTACGGGATTCTACTTCAGAGCAGAGCCAAAGTTCACCAGTTTCAATTGTCCTAAAAACATTCCCATATTCCATGATGGCCTCCCCTCTGGTCTATGCTACGGATTACAACTCCGCCCCTAAGCTTGCCTGTGGCCACCGAGGCCGGAGGGGTGGAGTGACGTACGCATATAAAAAGGGGGACTCGATCTGAACTTTTTAACTCGATCTGAACTTTTAAACTCAGCCTGGTCGGAAATATCCTTGACCCTGGTTAGAAAAGCTCCAGGACCCTCTAAGCTGAGTTTTGTAGCCTCCGGCTCACACGTTTTTGTCTTGGCTCAGGAAGGAGGGCTCCAGAGCAAACTAATTTATGCAGCAGCCAAATTGCTCGCTCACAACTTTCATGCCAGTGGCTCACAAAGTAGAATTTTTGCTCACAGGACTCCACGGCTGAGAGGGAGCGTTGAGGACCGCACAGCTTCCTTGCTCCTCAGGTTCAGAGCGGCCTCGTGCTTTGCCCTGTGGACCCCCTTGGAGCTTTGACAACCAGACTGGGGGGGGGGAGGAGGTGACTGCATGCTGATTTCTAGTACCCAGGAACTCAACCAAAGCAAGCAAACAAAAATTCAGGGGGATAGCAACAAGCGCACCAAAACGAAGACAAGTCTTCGACCATAATAAAGTGAAAAATCAAACTACGGCTGCGGTCACACGACCAGATACAGTTGTTTCACCTTTGCAGATTTAAAGAGCACGATCAGACCGCAACATCTGCCTTCCATGCCCCAGTCACTGACACCCCGTGTTGCCCCGCTTTGGAAGCGGAGTAATTGGGCACTAGGGAAACGTTCCGGTATTAAGGGATGCCAGCGCTTCCGCATTTCCTGACGTCCGAACCCCCCCCCCCCCGTTGTGAAGTCAAGCCGTTTAGGAAGTCTGAACCTTCCCTTTCGTCTGCACCTCCTTTGTTTTTGTTCTGGCTCAGTTCATGGTGTTTGCACAAGCGCACAAATCGCCCCCGGGGTTGTCAATCACCTCGGCCAAGGAGTCCTTCTGGAGTGGGAATCTCTGTGGGAGCTGTTTTTGGGTGACAAATCCCCCCCCCGTTTCTGCGTCAATCACCTCGGCCAAGGAGTCCTTCTGGAGTGGGAATCTCTGTGGGAATCTCTGTGGGAGCTGTTTTTGGGTGACAAATCCCCCCCCCATTTCTGCATCAGAGTGTGAGAGCATCCCATGATTGACACAAGGGTAAATGCACTGACATCAATGGGAATACTCTCGTGTAAATCTGCATTTTACCTCTCCCGTGAGAGAGGTGAAGGGAAGGAGGCCGAGAGGGGCCAGAGGACTTGGCAGAGGGATTGTGGAGCTGTCAAAAAGGAGCCGGAGCTTCAGATACACGCTTATGCGCATGGGTGAAAGACAAAAAAAAAAGAATGGTGCAAGAATCTGAACTACTGACCCTGGGGGGCAAGCGCACAGGGAAGCCGGTTCAGGGTGGGATGTCTGATCAAAACTGCCTGCAACTCTTCGAATCGCTGGAAACAGAGGCGCAGCCAGATTGCGCCAAGCCTCCAGTGTGACCACAGCCTAGAAAGACTTTCAGCTTAGCTCCCCCCTGTTTCCTCTACCTTCCTTGAAGATCTAATTGGTTGAAAGCATTCTGAACTCTAAAAGTAGACCACATCTTCACTGTGCTCTTACTAGGGCAACATAAGGAAAAAGGAGAAGGGGAACCTGACAGCTGCCACCACTTCTGTTGCAAACCATCCCAACCCTCAGGAATTATGCCCATACTGGATGCCCCCCACCCCTACCCCCCCGCAACTAAACTGAAAGTGTGGTGTTTAATTCAGCCAGGCTAGAAGGCGAAAGGTCTAAAGCGGAAGCACATCCAGCAAAAGACAAATATTAATGAACAAACAAAGGTAAATATGGGTGAACAAACGGATGCAGTCCCCGGTGGCCCATCGTGCCCCCTTACGCCCGCCTGCGTGGCAGTGTGCCTGTAATCAGTGGAACAATGTCCATTGTTCTCTCCATATCATAGCTCCACCGTAAGCATCTGCCCACCCAGCTCTACGCCCAAGAAAAGGCAGCAATATAACAAACGTGGACAGCCGCAGTCATCCACGGAATTAATGAGGGACTGTGACCGGTGTTCCCTCTAAGCTGAGTCAGTGTGAGCTAGCTCACAGTTTTTTAGCCTCTGGCTCACACATTTCTGTGTCAGCTCAGGAAGGATAGGCTGCAGAGTGGCCAAATCGCTCGCTCACCACTTGAATGCCAGTAGAATGCAAGGAGGCTCTTTGCTCACAAGACTCCCCAGCTTAGCGGGAGCACAGGCTGTGACCTACGAAGCCACAGGAACACAAACGCAGCTCCAGGAAACGATGGTGTGTGTGTGTGCTTGTGTATCTTTTTGTCTCCTGAAAAAGGTGCGGAAGCCGCCAGAGGCTGGATGCCGCAGCTACCAGCCCCTCCAAGGGAGGGTCTCACCCCAGTAAGAATGTCTGGGCCTAAATGTGATCCAGGCGGGGTAGCCGTGTTGGTCTGAAGCAACAGAACGAAGCTGCAGTCCAGTCCGTGCAGATGAAAGCTTCTACCCAGAATTAAACTTTGCTGGTCTTAAATGTGCCGCTGGACTCCGACGTTGTTCTGCGCATAAATGGGCAATTGTTCTCTCTCCCTCCCCCCTCCCGCCACCCCAGCCAAAGTTCATCCCAGGCCAAGAGCCACAACCGGATCACTCAGCAGATCATATGTCTACCAATGAACTCTCACCACGAGAGTATATTTGACTTTGGGAACTCTTTAAAAAAATTATTTGTGGGGAAAAAATTACGGACCGTAAATTAACACCACATTTCTCAAGGATGTTTGCATCTGTAGGGGAATGTCCCTCCTGCAGACTTCCCAGATATTATCTCTCACTGGACCAAGTAAGGAAAGGAATTCTCTTTTGGGAAAGTGCGTGTAGGAAAAAACACGAAAGCCAGCACCAAAACAAAACAAGAATGGAAAAGGTGAGGGGAGAAAAGACTTACTGTTTCTTGAGACACGTCATGGGACAGACATTGTTAGCTCTAAAGTTATGGATGACCGACCGGAGCCCATCGACCCATTGCTGAAAGACAAGAGATTAAGCGGTCAGCCCCGTGGAGGGAAAGGCCAGAAGTACCGGAGCGCAGCCATTTCTAGAGCCGCCGCTGGCTGCTGCTCCGAGGAACTGGATGAAGGCGAATAATAAGAGCACTCGGGAGCTTCTTTGGAGAGTTATACCCCACCGCTATCCCCTACGGGGACACAAGTGGCCGTTCTGCCTTCCTCTGTTGGATCCCCACAACAAAAACAACAACCACAACAATGAGTGACTGGCCCCAGGGTCACTCTGCATGCTCCCATGTCAGAGTGGGGACTCGAACCCAGGTTTCCCACCATTACACTACGCTGGCTCTGGAGTGTATTATCTAGTTGGAGCCCTCACAATCACCCTGCAAGATAGGTCACCGTTCTTATGCCCGTTATTCCCCGGCTCTGCCGTGGAAGCAAATTAGGTGACATCAGGCCTGTCCCAGTCTCTCACCCCGGCCTACCTCACCAGGTTGCTGTTGTGAGGTAAAAGGGGAGAAGGAGACAACCATGTTATAAGATTGGATTTATACCCTGCCCTTCACTCAGAGTCTCAGAGCGGCTTACAAACTCCTTCCCCTCCCCACAACAGACACCCTGTGAGGGAGGTGGGGCTGAGAGAGCTCTTGACAGAAACTGCTTTCGTAATTGCTCTGACAGAACTATGCCTTACCCAAGGTCATCCAGCAGCTGCAAGTGGAGGAGTGGGGACTCAAACCCAGTTCTCCCAGATTAGAGTCCGCCTGCACTTAACCACGACACCAAATGCAGCCCTCACAACCGAATTCAGTTCTATCTGTGAAATTTCTTCCTTGACACCCTTCTCTGTCTCTTCAGTTCAAGAATTCCTTCTCCCTTCTCAGTCAGAACCCTAAAAAGCAACCAGTCTCTTCTGCGCTGGTTTCATTTGGCCACACCAAGAAGCCCCCAGAGTCCAGTAAAAAGAGGCAATGCCATGGCGCCTTGACTTAGAAATAAACCTCCATCGGATTTGCGCTTTCATATGTGCTAAAGGATGCCGCTTCCATCCACTTCAGTGACCGTTGACAAGTGGATATTTTCCATTTCACCCAGTAAAATCCAGTCGCAGAGTGGACTGAAAGCGCGTTATTTGGTGTGTGCGAAAGCGCCCTTCAGCGCCCTTACTCCAAAAAGGAAACACGTGTCGGGCGCATGCATGCAAAAACCTTACTTTGCAGGGAGGCCACCAGGTGTCAGTAGAACTAAAGGATGCCTCACTCGAAAAGAGAGATAAATTGGGACTGGGGGGGAATCAAGCAAACACAAGCACCACAACCCCCCAAGTAGGCTTCAGTCTGAGCCAGCTGTATAGCCTTGCTGGTTCCAGTAAATGATCAGTTCTAAAAAAAGCAAAACAAAACTCCAGACACTGCAGAGAGGCCACAGAGACGAGGAACTCTGTTCGGGGAGCCTGGTGCCCCTTACCTGCCGTCGCAGTTTATTTCACTTAATATTACTTCATTTATACCCCACTTGCACCAAAGCGGCTTACAACATTGTCTCCCCTTCTCCATTGGATCCTCACAGCAACACTGTGAGGCAGGCTCAGTTGAGAGTGTAGGTCCCACTCAAGGTCACCCACGAGCTTCCGTTGCAGAGTGGGGATTCGAACCCGGGTCTCCCGGATCATAGCCCAACACTTCAGCCACTGCATGACATCAGTCCCTCCTCTACGGAAAGGAGCAAGAACACAAGGCCTTAGAGACCCCAAAAACCGCCTGCTGATGCACCTTATTCGTCCATGTGCATGCGGCGGGCAGGAGGGGCCGTAGGTAGCAATTAGGGTAGGGGGAGAGTGCGGGAGTGAGAGTTACCAAAGGTGGCAATGGGAGGAGGCCCCTTGCGACAAGAACAGCTTCCGGTGGTATCATTCCCGAACCTGACTCTGTTACTAGACCAGGACAAAGACTGAACGCTTACAGTAAATTATTTCAGGTGGGGTCGGCCGTGTTGGCCTGAAGCAGCAGTACAAAGTTGGGGTCCAGTCAGGCACCTTTAAGACCCACAAAGTTTAATTCTGGGTATAAGCGTTTGTGTGCGCGCATGTTGTGGTGGAACGGGCCTGCTCTGGCCTGCAAGCACTGTCGTCCCCCCCCCCGCGCTCTCCAAGGTTTTCCCAACACTTGGTGACCTTCCGCCACCACCTGACTTCTGTAGGAATTGCCCACTGGGAGGGTCAGGACCCCCAGTTCCCCCTTCCAAGACCTGAGGCCTTGCCTCTGTGTCTCCCACTGCCCAGCCATCTGGTCACCACGGCAACGCTCCCTCTAAGCTGCAGAGTCTTGTGAGCAAAAATTCTACTTTGTGAGCTACCGGCATTAAAGTTGTGAGCCAGCGATTTGGCTACTGCATCAATGTGTTTGCTCTGGAGCCATCCTTCCTGAGCTCAGGCAAAAATGTGTGAACCGGAGGCTAAAAGACTGTGAGGTAGCTCACACTAACTCAGCTTAGAGGGAATACTGCACCACGGGGACCATTTACTGCCTTGTGTGCCCCTGGGGGAATAGCCCCTTGCCAACTGACTGTGTTCCCCTTTCTTCTGGCGCTCTTTTTAAAATAGTGTGTCCAAGATGGTGGAGGTCTATGTGGTACAGAGAACCACTACCAGCATCTGAAGTTATAAAGTATTTATTAAAAAGAAAATGTTCACAAGCATACTCTTAGCATAGCATCAGATTGAGCAAGGGGTTCAAAAGAAATGGGTAAAATGCAATTTCTCTGTCTGTGTCTCTCTGCACATGCCCTATCAGATGTTAAAATACAGGACTGGCCCCTTTAGTTTAGGATGTTACAGATGTCTACAGAATTTTCATTACCTTGAAGCTTTCTCCAGCTCTTCCAGACCAGCACGTGGTCAATGGCTGCCTTCCTAGCTGAGCGAGCTGTCTGTTCTCATGGATTCAGCACCCAAAGGAAGAGAGGTTCTTCCTTGCTCCCCTGAGTTTTATCACCTCTCTTTTCACCACCCCAGGTCAGACCCAGTCAAAGAGGATTTTCCTGAAGATTTTAGACGTTTCCTTCCTAAGGTCACTCTGGTACTCCGTTCCTCCAAATCTCTGTTTCCTGCTTGAAGGCGGGGTGGGGGTGGGGGGGTGGACCTTCCTATTGTCTCTAGCTAGAACTAATAGCATTTCTTAAGAGATAGCTGAAGTGAGCCTGGAAAGCCATTGACTGACTTCCTCCTCGTTCTCTGCCCAGAGAGAGGGGAAAACTGAAAGTGAATGTTTTGCTAATTTCAAACCTTCAAAGGAAAAAAAATGCATTTCTTCACACGTGGTATCTGAAGAAGTGTGCCTGCACACGAAAGCTTATACCCAGCATTAAACTTTGTTGGTCTTAAAGGTGCCGCTGGACTCAACGTAAATTATTTGGTATACTACCTACAGGAAACCTATGCAGGCCCATACACCATGGTTGTGTTACTCCTGGTCCCAAAACATGATCTACTTCTGTCTCAGTGAAACTCATGAAAGGGGCCACAAAAAAGGCCTGTTTATCTTCTCCTGTGCCCCTCCGGAATCTCATTACAATGGGATCATATCAAGCAGTACAGCGACTGTCTTCACACAACGAGGGAGAAATCCCATTACTCATGCTTCTTCCCTCTAGAAAAGCCAAGAAAGCCAATGAAGCCAGCAACAGCAACCCACTAAGATACAGAATACCAAAAAGATGGGGGCGGGGGGGGGGGGGGGGGAGAGGAAGCAAGCAAGCCGACTGTCAGTTCGTTGTCCCAGTTGCAGGAACGACAGTGGAACGAAGGACAACCTGTTCTGCTGGGACACGACGAGCTACAGGGCAAGGTGGAAACAACGTGAAAGGACTCCATAAGGATCCACAGCAAAAAGTGCCAGTCAAGGTCAGCAATGAAAGGATGCGTTAACATTTTACACCCTGGATGCTAATGTGACTGCAGCGAGGCCTGCTCAAAGCTTACTTTAATCAAACTCGTCGTGTTCAAGATGCGTTCGCTCAATACCCTAAGCATCGGCTTTCGACGGAGACCACAGAGGGATGTTGCATGTTCTTTGAACACGATCTAAGGGAAAACTCCCGTGACTTCGCCCTCCTTTTCTCCATCACAACTTAACTACCAGGGCAGAGCTAAGGAATTGCCAGGATTTCCAGATCAAGGTTACTGTTAAACTTTAATCCATGAATTATGCAACTCCTTGGTTTCAAGCCTTCTAAAACAAACATTAATTCGTGTTCCTTAAAATGTCAAGTCTAATTCTTGGGGGGGGGGGGGAGGATTTAGCCAAGAGATCAAATCAGGAGTTGAACAAAGAGCGTGAAAGAAAGCAAGAGTGTAGTATAATTCCTGGTTTATTCTTTGCTCCGAAACCTAATTTAATAGCAAAATCAGGGGAACACAGATTTCAAGTACCCATCACTGTCACATAAAAGTCCCTTTAAATATTAGCCAAGCCTTGACAACGCTGGTGTCCAACAGGGCAATTGTGATGATGTACAACAAGGTCATAATTTGATTTAAGGCAAGTGGCCATCATCTTTAGTTATTCCCAAAGCAGCTGAGACAGGACAAAAGGAAGAGGTGTAGAGAAGAAAGAGACACACAGGAAATCAAGTGGCTCTCATGTTACAAGGTAAGACTGTCTGCAAACGTGGAGATTAAAGATGAGCCCCATCCCCTTTAACTAAAGGAGGGCCCATGGCTTTGTGGGAAAGCCTCTGCTTGGCATACAGAAGGTCCCAGGTTCAATTCTTGGCGTCTCTAGTTAAAAGGACCAGGGAAGGAGGTGATGGGAAAGACCTCCGCCTGAGACCCCGGAGAAGCATGGCTGGTCTGTGTAGAAAACACGACTTTGAGGGTCTCTGATTCAGTATAAATACCTGGAAAGTTGCAAACGATCATTGACAAAAAGCCTGGGTGCCACCCTCTATATCGTTGTGGGCAAACCGATTACAAGCAGTGAGCAGTTCCAGGGGCAGAGCGATAGAGCTCAGCTTCCT